AATTACAAATAAAATACAAATTTGTACAAATAGAAATAAAAATGCATTAAAATGAAATAAAACAAAACATGATAACATTAATAGCAGGATCATCTGTGGGCAATCCAAGTCTGCCTAATTTTACAGACAGTATAACAAAATTTAGCTACGTTCAAAGAAACTGAATCATACTGATCAGCTAGCAACAACTGTACATAAAAAAGATCAGCATTTCCTGGGTATTTTATCAAATAGGGAGTTATAAAAGGGATCCGTGAGTCCTTATAGAAAGCACAGTATAGCAGGATGTGAGCTGTAGTTTCAATAGTCCCTTGTCCACAGGGGCACAATCTCAGCTCATATGGAGCTTTTTTAAATCAGCCCTCCAAAACTGCTGTGGGAAGAGCATTGCAACATGCTAGAGTTAATGCCCTTTGGAATTTGGAGACAGTTAAATAACGTAAGTATCTCGCTGGTTTATAAAAATGGGCTTGGCCGCTCAGGAAAATGTTCTTAGGCAGAGCAGACTGCTCCTGTTGGGCTTCCAGATCTTTGATATGTTGTTTAAATGGACTAAGTGCATGCTCAGAGCCCATTATTAGGAACACCTCCCTGGAGAAGCCAAAATGTTGCAGTTTTTGTGAAATAGTCCTGAACTGTACTGATTTATAATTGTCCTCAATAAGGAAAGAACTCAGACCTGTGGGAACGAGAAAAAGAGATCACTGTAACTATGCAAAAATAATTAATACCCAGAAATACTCAAATTGTAACTGTTACAAATATCTTTAGGCAAACCATTTACAGGTTTGCTAATGTAAGAAAGACAAATGTTACAATTTAGTAAATACATTCGTTTGGCTAATGGAACCTTTACAAATTTGAAAGTTATATGCTAACTTTTCTGTTACTGCAGTGGTCCAAATCCTCTCTCTTTCTGGAAACAATTCTTATATTATAGAAAGACTGCTTGAACTCATATTTTTCAAAAAGGCTGAGTACTGTACGAGACCTTTTATTACAGTTAAATATGATAAATTCAGGGGATTTTATTCAGGGGTAGACCTGGCCAATATTAATTTCTAAATCTGATTGATTGATCCCATCTTTTATATTAGCTCAGACATGCTACGAGCTGTCCTTTGATTTCTATTCCTAGTACAGTATTGCCCTTTTCCAGCACTGTTCTTATAGATCTGTTGCAGAGACATCATCACAGAGAGTCAATCAAGATGGTGTCTACAACCACATTATCAAAGCTGCAACCAAATGAAACCCCACCCTTCTTGCACATTTTGATATCACATGCATGGACAAAGGGGGGAGATGATCGCATGGTCCTGGCCATCATCTTGACTTCTTTGACTCTTCTGCAAACATTGCTGTTGTCGTTTGCTTTCATCTGCCCTCCCCATTTCATGGGCATCTATGCCCAAGGTGGAAACTTAATTGGACAGAATAAAAATGGAAGTATAGTGGGCAAAAAATAAAGATGATGGCTTCAACCATGCAGTTGAAGTTCCAGCCTTTTACATGTATCACAGATGCAAAAAAAAAAAAAAAAGGATGGGGGCATTGATTGTGCGTGGATGTGATTACAGTCTCAACTTTTTTGAATCCTTCCTTCATACAATCTTCCATGTAACCCAACCAAGCAACCTATCTGTTGTATGCATAACTCCGAATAGATCAAGAAAAGATCATGATAGGTTATGATCTGAATCACCATGCTGAAAGTTTTAGAATCTACATTTGAATGGAAACCACTTTTTCAAAAATTAGGCATAATTCCAGGACAGATCAACAACAACAACAAAGAATCACAGTTTACTAAGATACATGTTGACAGCCGCAAGGGTAAACTTAGCACAACATTGGAAAAGAAATTTGTTACCATTGGGAACTTAAACTTGGAAAATATGCAGCAATGACAAAATTAGCAGCATATATTCACAATAGAAACTTGACCAAATTCAAGCAGGAATGGCTTCCATATATATTATATCTTAAGTAGCAAGGCAAACTGAAACATTTGAAGTATGGTTTTTAAGGGGAAATAGAACTGATTAAAGAAGCAAAATTAGAAATATATGAAAATCTTGAATGTTTATAAATATTGTATATCAGTAGGAGTACAACAAAGAGGAAGATAGAAATTAAATATTCACTCAATAATGATTTTAATAGTTTTTCTTTCTTCTCTTTTTTCCTCTTTTTTCTGTTAAGTGATTTATCTTTAAATATTGGCATTCAGCTCAGAGATTTAGAAAGACTTTTAAATCCTTTTCCTTTTTGTGAAAAATAACTTAATATATTCTGCTTTTTATGGTTAATCCTTCATCTATGATACACTGAGCGCTAACTGTACAACTTTTCCATTTCTCTCTCTATTTACTGATATTATATATTTGTACTAATTTTTTCTTTTTTCTTTTTTTGCTTGTCTGTTTTTTTAAAAACCAATTAATTAAAAAAAATAAAAGAGGTTAAGCTTTACAAGTGTCTGTTCTGTATTTGTTCTGCCCCACAAAATATGATCATTATGATTTAAATAAAGTATTATAGTTATGAGAAGTAAAGATTGTGTTTAACCTGATGGTAAAGATTCTTGTTTGTATATTATACTGGATCAGAGCCTGAAGGATTAGCATAAAGTAGTAAGTGGTTTTATTAAAGTAGTTGAAATCTGGTCCTGATATTGGTACTTAGATAATCTTAGTTTAAACATAGTGTCTACATTTGTTTTTCAAGCTATTTCTTTGGATTAATTCAGCTCTGAGGAAGCTGATTTTAAAAACATATCAGCTTTGCAGAATTAAAAACAACACTGAATTAACTCGGAGTACTTTTTTGACAGTGTGTTGAGCTTAAGCATCTGTTACTTAATTTATCTGGCCTATATGAAATTGCTCTTCCTAATGTTTCACAATGGTTAGAAGTTTTGGTGATTACCTGGAGTTCCTAAACCAATAACTGTTTTTTATAGGAATCTGGATAAAGCTGGCAAAATTGATACTACTTATTTATTAAGTATTAATGCTTATTGATATAACAAGCCTGAATGTCCTGTTTTGGTAAATCAAATGATGGTTAGTTGCAATTACCCTACTGGAGACGATATAGTTCAGGATTTGGAACATTAACCCATATAGCTTGGTCTTGCCCTATTATTTTTGCATTTTGTGCTGACCTCAGCAGAATTGTTAATATGACTCTGGCTCAGTCCCTGTATTTTGAGGGCGCATATGTTCTTTTTAGCTATGTACCCAGTATTGGAATCGATTATTAGATATTAAAAATTATTATTCTTTTCAGGCCAGGGTGCTGGCTAAGAACATTATTTAAGAATGAGATGGAAGGTGACATGCACACCTGATTTACAGCATAGATTGTTGCTATGCATTGTGTATCAAGGTTTGAATTAATCCTTTTTCAAAAAAGAGCCAAAGACCTCTGAGCAATATGGCCAAATTTTTGCAGTTCTTTAGTTTATAAACAGTTGTTTACCATTTTCATTGCTATAATTAACTTTGTAGTAGTGTTGATCCTATAATGCTGGTCTATGTATGCAGACTTTTAAAAAATAGTTTGCATAATACAGGTAGTCCTTGTTTAGTGACTACTTCATTTAGCAACTGTTCGCAGTTATGATGGTGATGAAAATGTAACTTTGCAGCCAGTCCTCCCATTTACAGGTCTATAAAGCAAAGGAAAGCTGAAGTAAGATCATAACACAGTCACGTTTTCACTTAGTGACTGCTTCACTTAACGATCAAGTTGCCGGTCCCAGTTGCGGTCACTAAACAAGGACTACCTGTAAAATAAAAATAAAAATACAAGCACCCCCCAAAAGTAGTATGATTATTACATGGCTGATTACTGGTGCTGAAGGAAACCCTTTTTAAAAAGGTGGATCAAAGGCTTTATTTTGTCCTCCAAAATATCAAGTTACCCAGTAATTCCTAAAATGTCATTTAAAATGATGGACCACCAAGCCCATTAAAGCTGGTCAAGGGTATTGTCTTTAACTGCATATTTTCTTATTATCTGTTGCAGTTATTGTCTGGTGGGAATTACAGGACATATGGGCTTCTACTCCCTAATTTATTCCCAGTACTAACAACATCCATATTTAACAATTCCATGGCAACCCTACATGTTCAGAGATTTCACATATGCAAAACATCAAAAACAAACAGCTCGAACAAAGGATGATTTGGAATGTGGCTTTGAAAGGTAATTTTTACATGCAACTTTTCTTTCGGTTTTAAAGAACTGTCCTAAAAAAGAAGTGTGTGTTAATAAACATGACTGT